AGAAAAATATACATTTTCATTCCACAATCACTGACGTCAACGTTTTGAGAACATTGAATCAATATGCTTTCTGATAGTATTCAGTCAGTAATTTAATTAATATCATAGTATTATAAACAAACAACAGCTCTATGACTGGAGGCGGTTTTGTCATTCACTCTGTTCAGCCATAACGTGGCTTCAATTATTATGTCAACACTTGTATTGACATGTTGTTTAATTTAACATAATTATCAGATTGCCGTTCTTCGAACACATTGTGTCTGTCACGATCACCTAGTATACTTGCTAACAATTTTTTAAACTGGAAATATAATTGCCATACGCGCAGAGTATATCGAGATCTCATCGATTTGTTTTATAAAAACTGGCTTGTCACCTAACCTACCTTAAACAACGACGAAAAAGGTATGATTAAAAACATTATACTAGGATCCTTCAATCTATGTCTTTTACTCACATAATATAATATGTATATCATAAAAATCAGTTGATTCGTTATCTCGTTTCTAAGGATATTGGTAACTTTTTTTTATTATAAAAATTTCAAAATGGTACAATAGAATTGAGTATTCACTTCAAATATCAGGTAAGTACTAAGTAGGTACTTACTTTGTACGTTTTGGTAACCCCCGCCCTTCAAGTCTATGATATACTTATTTGATAATTCAGCTATGAACTTTTCAACCGCTTTTGTCAAGAATACTATGCATCAGCTGAAAATTATTGAGGATATTGGAACAATTGCTACTCACCAAGTCATTTGAAACTATGGCAATAATAAAGCTTCCTCATCGTGAAACTCATCCCTTAAAAAGCATGGATTGTTACAGCCAATTCGGAATGGAATATGAAGAGTTGGCAAAGCTGAAGTGTGATGAAGAAAAATCATTAATTTTTCATGTATAATTTTTTTATTGCAAAACGTTTTCGATATCATTGAGTTGCCTGTCGGTAATGGAAAGTAGTGGTGACGAGACATTGTTCCGTAGACTTGGATAATATTCGTTCATTATTATAATGCTACCATTTCTGCAATAATCGTTCTTTCACTATTGATTTCTATGTCCGACATTGAAAAGAACAAAGTATACACGAAATACAAATGTTTTTTCTCCATTCATGTTATACAAACTGTAAAGGGGATTCAAGTATGAAATTTTGTTATCTATTGCTATTGGCCAGGCGTCTTATTAGGAATTGCGCGTATCATTTGGTTTAGTAAACCATATTGAAAGCCATAGAGGTATTTATCTGGATGAACAGTACTGGAAACTGCAAACGGCCAAGGTTGATTGACTGACACTGGTTTGGTATTCCTCCAGATAAAAATGAGCTAGGCATCAACAATACTCTGTGCCACTAGATCACCGTGAAGTTGTTAAATAGATGAATTTAAACTCTGAAGCTTTTTCGTTGGTTCTTGTATCATTCTACTGTTGTGTTAGTGAAAACTGTTTTGGTCAAAGATGAAGGTGACGGTGGTTACATTTTAATCAAGTCAAGCACATCTCCACACAAGAAATCCCCGCCGCCACCATTAAAGCAATCACTGACCTTAAAATAACTGTGCTCATTTGCCTATTTTGATCAACTTTACATTTTTTATGTACAATTCATATTCTGCGATGCCGTTCGAGCGTGTGCGTTTCGCTAATTTACACTTTCCATCATCAGCCGTTGACATGAGAAACAGAATTCAATATCCCGATTATTATATTTAAATACAGTCAGTCTGCCACAGGTTTATCTAAAATTCTCTATCGATATATTAATTTTATTCTCCAATCTCAAGGTACGAGCGATTATAAAAATAAAGTGATTTCAGGTTGTGGCTGGTTAGTCTGTGGGTGGTTATATAAATGGCCGTGCCTGGAATTCGAGACGCCACAGACACGCCACTTGTGCATAGCGTAATTCTCTTTTATCATTGGATTCACGTCAGCAAACGCAGTGCAAGACACAACAAGGGGGAAAAGAAAGAAAAAATAAATGAAAGTAAAATAATAAATAAACTTTAATCTGTCACGAAAAAATCAAACAGTAAACCAAAATGAATAAGTAGTGATAAATTAACAAATCAAATAAATTAAGTGTGAACTAAAGAATATATTCAGATGAAAATGTTGGCTGAAAAATAAACTGTAAACTGAAAACCAAAATCGAAAGAAAATAATAAATAAGGTGTTGTGGTCTCGCTAAGCATTGCCGTCGCATAACTGATGGCATTTCAAGCAAAACCACTCAATTCGAGGAAAAAGCTGAGAATGTTAGAAGAAAAAAAAAAAATCAGTGAACTTAACACAACACACAAATAAGAATAATTGGATCTTGAGCAACAAGGGCAGTCATCTTGTTCAATTAATTATTCACGATCAGTCGATTAGCGATCAAATCTGTCTATTCAACTACGCTATCACAAAGCGAGATGAAGCCCTTGTTGCCGCCGAATCCCCAAAAAACACAAATACGTTTACGCAACGCCACAAAATGAACAAACACCACCATAACCTCGTATGGTGCGGCTGCTCTGTCAGGACGTTGCTATGCGACTAGTCTGATTCCAAAGAATACGAAAACACTACATATAAATACATAAATAATTAATCTACTCAAGACATGAAATGAATCTTATAAAATAACATAATAAATACTAATCTGTAAATATATATATAGTTTAGCTATGAATCTTTGGGTCATGCCCCAATGAAGGCAATGGCACAATCAATGTATTTAAGTAATACAAGAAAAACATCAGACCATAGAAAGGTTTGCTATAGGAAACGCGAATGCACTTCTGACTAGCTTCGTATTTTCATAAGTACTAGAATATTAACTTAGGGGAGGTGCGCTTCTGGCGGGCAGGGTACCCCCAAGGACATCCGGCAATGTTGTCATGATGGTTCAATCCCTACACTGTAATCCCCCTTAACTTTAGCTCACATGACGTAACCGCGATCCCTTCCGTCAATTTTCAATTCATTCGAGTTTACCTTGGAAAATTCGTATCATCGATATTTTCTCAGTCGTATAAATTTTCTACTATGGCACCATAAACTGATCATCCAGGCTGCCTCTTTTCTGTTTGATCTCAAGAACACCATGAACGACGATATTTTGAATGGTATAATCCTACATACTAGAAAAAAATTGGATTCGACGACGAAAATGTGTTTTCACTCCATACATCTATATGACAGTTTTCGAGAACGTTTCAAAAACGTTCCGGTTATACCGGAAATGATATCTTTGAGCCATTTCAAAAATGACTCTGGAATAGAGGTTGAACACTCTATGTTGTCCTCATACTCATTTGTTTCATGTCAAAATGAAAAAAATAAATAACATTACTTATACATAATCAATCGCCATTTTATTGAAAATTGTCACAGATGTATATAGAGTGCGTTCAATATCCATACTTGGAATTTTGAATAATATATAGTATACTACATTCTATATTATTCAAAATCTGCATCTCGAACAACATTATAACATCCCAAAGTTTATGATTTTATATTTCCAAAGTTTCGGAAGGCGAGTAATCCAAAAAAACACCATTTCATCATTCCTCAATTCCCTATTATATTGGGAACAAGATCTGACAGAATTAGAGTGAAATATATATTTCACGTGAGGGCTCGCGCTGACGTCAGACATATCCAAGGCGATTGAACCGTCTTCGGCAAATCGTCGAGCATCCTCGGGGAACCCCCGGGTTCGCTGCATTCTGCACCCTCGAACGCATCAATTTACCTAATAACTCGCGGCAAAACCGCCGCAACGAACAAGCGATAATAAATAATACTAGCGTTCGCGGCGCAGGAAATAACCATCGCTGGACCGACAAAAACTTGCACACATTAGAGAGAAAAGTTGAGAGGGGGTGAGAGAGCGAGAGGGATAGATATGCGGGAAGTATTTTTTCGAGTGCGCACCCTATCGCTGTCTCATAAACGGCTATAGGTACTAGGTCGGTTAAATGAGGTGAACAGTTGCCTTTCCTGGAGCTTGTTCAAGATTTCTCCACAACATTGGGTGGGCTCTGAGATATTCAGGATATGAAAAGTGCGAAAAATGTAAATATTTGTACATACATACCAACGAAGTACATATTATTTACTACGGTTACTGACTTATCATGAAGTAATGACATCGCTGATCTCTGCACGATATTACATAACCGAGTTATTCCAATCGATCACATTTTTTTCATTGTGAATATTCGTCAACAATTTTTCAGTCAATTTGATTGTGAAGTTTCCCACTTTGAAAATCTCTGCATAAATATAATAAAAAGCGGTTCGAGCCTTCACATGAGAAATGAAGATGCCCAGGTCAGTATTTGAAGAAGACAAGTTGATATGAATAACTATGATATTGATTATAGTGCAGGGTTCACAAATACGTTATTTTGTAGAGAATAATCAATCACATAACTTAGTCGTAATTGATCAATTTACACGTTTTTTCTATCAGGTATACTTATCACATTTTTGACACTCCATATTTTCCTTGATATCGCAGAAACCACAATGAGGTGGTCACACTGTAACGAAATGTGGAATAAACCACAGACAACTTTTCTCTGATTCAATCGATCCTGTAACCCTAGATGATTCGGAGAAAGGAAGATTGTACACACTTCGAAAAAAATAGATATCTGCGAATTTCTTTTCGCATATTCACAAATGCTAGTTCATTTCGACACCGCAATTTTGATATAATAATTAAGGTTTTGTACTAAGAAATGATTTACAAAACCTCACCGATTTCTACACTGACACAAGTCGAACAATTTAAAAAACCGTCAATCGTAAACTCAACTGGATATAATGAATCTGTCTGCTCGACTGTTACTGGAGTCCTTCAAGAAAAGACATGTACCTTCGCTAATTTTGCTAGTAGGATTCCAGTCAAGGTTGAACATTTCTTGCTACTAAAACCAAACCAATTTCAAAACGACGGCGTCGCAATGAACTACCCCCGCGCAAGTAGGTATGAGTCCCGTTCGGTTTTTGTCGGGCAGGCGGATGGCTGCAGCTGACGCGCTGCCGTCTACGAACTCTCGTCGCTCTATGTGGTTTTGCTCTTGTTCGTTTTGAAGCTGACCTGCAACACGCGGTTGCCCAGCGTGTATCCGTTCAGCGACTGGATCGCCACCACCGCCTCGTCGTAGTTGGTCATCGTGACGAAGCCGAAGCCCTTGCACTTGTTGGTCTGCAGGTCGCGGATCACTTTGACGCTCTGCACGGCGCCGAACGGGCCGAACAGCTGCCAGAGGACGTTCTCCTCGGTCTCGGGCGCCAGGTTGTACACGAAGATGCACCAGCCGGAGCCGTTCATCGCGTTGCCTGGCAGCATCGAGTTGGCCAGCAGGTCTCCGGCCAGCGGAGAATACCTGGAAGCGGGAATTCAATGTTTTCTACACTGGCGTTTAGAGCTCGAGCGCATGAAATAATCCCGGTCCATTCGAGCGAGCCGTGCGAGACAAGTCTTATGAGACACTATTTTGAAGCACGCGTTGTTTGGAGTACGACGAGCGAAGCGAGGAGTGCTTGAAAAAATAAACTAGTGCGGCAATATGTCATATAAAACGTGTGCAATATTCTATTTTTCATATTTTGCATTCATTTTTACTCTTTTTTTCAAAGAAAACATCAATAAAAATATCAAATATTAGAAATATATGAAGTAAGTCGTTGGTACCAATGATGAAAATAACATTTGGAATTGGAATTTTCATTCTGTAATTTGACAGATAGAAAGTTTATTGGGAACACATCAGAAAGAAAAATCAGTCTAATATGCCCCCACTTCATTCTGAATTCGCAAATAGATTATCCATTATTATCCTAGGTAATAAGGTAACTCGATTCGTTGACACAAAACTCCTCGTCAATCGTGTCCGACAGTTTGAAGTCACCATTACCAATTTGGAAAGCAGAAATTCAGCGTATCCTAATATAGAAGCTGTTTCGATACGCATTTTGGTGTCATAATCACTTTCATTAAAAACACAAAATGAAAATAATGCACAGCTGACACTTTGGAAACTGATATGAGGATTTGGGAACTGGCCATAAAATAAAATTAATATAATATTATGAAATTATAAGTTATACCCTCGAAACACAATGATATTTAGAAAATCCTGAATACGTATTTTAGCAACTAAGTTACCATTGTCGCGGAGAATTATTAGATGCGCTCAGTCTCTAGAAACTAGTAGCATGATGCTGTCTTCCTTTGACATGCTTGTGAGAGGAAACGCTGTCTTTCTTTGACAGCGTTCATGCTGGAGAGCGGAAACATTGGAAAAAAAGGTCGCATCGCTATCACGAACCTATTCTGGAATAGTAAACTACTATCTAGACCGCTAATGCCATAAGAAAGAAGGTAAGCCACTCACGAGATCGAACTGTCATATATTCTACTCATTCTCACTCATGTTACATTACTCGCTGTCACGAACGACAGTTCAGAGGTCGCATTGAGCAGGACCGTTTTCGGGCGAGAAATTCACTCGAGATGTCAGTGGGTGCCTCAGCATTGAGGGAAATAAGGAAGCGAATCAAGAAGAGTATTCCTTATCGTGATTTATATATTAGTTTTTCCAATAGTTTCCCAATATAATGGATATTTCCCGTGGAAAATAATCTCAAAATCAATGAATATCAGAAACTCATTTCATTTCTCGAAAAACAGTCCTTTGAATTCAGTACATTTATTCATTTACCTACCACCGAATATATAATTCACTCTACAAAAAGATCCCGATGAAGAATATCTGCTCAAAGTGAGTTTTATTTATGCTTCATCTTCTTTGCAGTCATCAGAGAAGCAGTAATTTCATTTCTTGGTTCGATAGCACTCTATTAAATTTTGGGAGAATTATTTCAGGATGGTCTTGAAATCAATACGAAGTCGACGGAAAATTGCTCCTTGCTTCAATTCTACCTTTCTCGCATCGCACAAGTAACACTTCATTGGTAACCGAAACAGTTTCGAAAAGACGGACATTCAAAAAAGTTAATCACAACTACTTGAGATTTTAACCAAATTTAAACAGCCGAGTGGTGTCGAAGATACCCGATTAAGAAAACCGCACTGTTTAGTGTTGACACATTTAGTTCATCTTTCATCTCATTTTAGTACAAAAACGGCAAATACCCAAGAAAATAGTATGGTTGCTCAATGGAGACTGTCGCCTTAGTATTATTAACATGGCGAAAGAAGCAGAGATGTGCAAGTTCTATATCATTTTCCATTCGAAGTGCTGACGAGATGAGATTTATCTAGGCTAGCTTCATGCAGGAGCTGTCGAGGATATTGAGCATCATCAAAAATATAAAACTGACGAATAGCATACTCTAAGCAACAGGACGATGAACATGATTGGAAATTTAATAACTGTTCGGCTGTAACTTGATTGGAATTAATATTAATAGCATGATTAATCAGCAGAAGCACTAGACCATAGGAATCATAAAAAATATACTAAATATTTTATGCACTCTCCGATACTCATGCAATCACTCCTAAGTGATGATTGTAATTTTATAATGAGGTAAAACGATTTAGAAATACGGTGATAATGAATAACTCGCGTTGAAGTGATCACTATATAGCGATGAATTAGGGATTTGAAGTGATTGTTTAAATATTATACTAAAATTATGTTGTAAGATGTAAAGTATGATTTTGATCTAATACTGTCTCAGGATAATAATAGCGCCAATGTCACTATCATGATGGAAAACGGGTATTAGAGATCAATCAATTGGAATAGAATATGCTTCAATAGTTTACTGTTGCGATGAAATACTGTTTTGAAGAATTGCTGCTTCGATGGTTGAGAAAGGTGACGATGTACACTACCAATGAACCACGTTCCTGATTTTCTCGTTTCAATACAAAACGGTTATGATATTTAGATCACTCTTTTAATGAAACACTGTTATTATGGAATACTGTCGCGACGAAATACGGTTCTGGTGAGATACTGACGCCATGATTAATTATTACTATTATTCACCTGAAGCGTCCCGTGGGGTGATGAATCGGGCCGGCGAATCGTCTTGTTGCTTGTGGAGTCAGGTAAGCTGCCAATGGCGGGATAGCTTTGTTGTTGTTGCTCGGATTATTGGCGAACTTCACGGTTATAGGTTCCGTTGACCCCTTGGGAATGGTCCCGTTCAACTCCTGTATGGCCCTTTCTGCTTCCAAGCGCTGGTCAAATCTGATGAAACCTACACCTTTTGACAGACCTAAGTTGAAAAATTTAAATGTTAGTGAGCACTCAGTCGGGAACGAAGAACGAGTATTGAAGAATTCGAAGAATGACTCATTCTCCAAGGCTCACTCTTGTCCCTTTCACCAAACACAGGCCTTCAGGTGTGATTTAAAAAAAATCCAACAAAACTTCGTGTTATTGTGTCAACAAGTGTTTGAGGTGTTTTAGTTATTGGAGCACATTCCTGAGAAGCCTGCATGTAAGGTAACGTTAAGAAACTACAAAATAACAACTGAGAGTAAGTAGGTAGGTATATCTTTGTTCAAACTTAAACTTGTAAATGATTTATGTATCGTGTGTTTGTGGTATAGTGATTGCTCTGCTCTTTTACTCAACAAACAAAACGTAAACGAGCCAAAAATTAAGTAATAAATAAATAAATAAATAAATAAAAGAATCAACATGCCATCACGATGCAAAATAAATATAAACAACGAAAATCTCAACCAAAGCTTCAATTAGGTTAAGATAAATCATACAAAATTGTAAACTGAATTCACTGAACAAGTGTTCGTCAATTGATTAGGGGGATGGGTGCATCTGCATCGTTTAGCTACTTCTTTAAGTTATACTCGTTGCCAATAAAATTGCATAACCAACTAGTCAAACATTTGAAATAATTTCGAATTTGACGGTAAAAATTTAGTGACGACAAAGCTGATTCGCGGACCGAATAACAGAACAACCAAAAGGTGGGCGGTGGTAGTGGTGGGTGTTTTGGGTGTTATGGTTAAGAGAAAGGTACGTACCAGGCAAATTTTCTCCGGCCCCCGAGACAAATTGACGTACTAGGGAAGAGAAGAAAAAAACGCAAAATATAGGTACAGTAAGACAAAATCAATGTGAATAGGGGGAGTCCTCGGCGTTTGAGACCGAGAACAGCCGCCGCTAAAATATTAAAAGCCAAATTTCAACAGTAACTCTGATCGAAAAATCATATCAAATCAAAGCTACGACATCCAATAAAAATAATAAAAAACAAATATTCACTGACTGTTTAATCAATAAACAAACTGCAAGTATGTTGATGTATTTTGTATGTATGTTACTGTGACTGTGGCATATGTCAGATACTTGGCCCGAGACAACATATAGGTAAATACAGCTTGCAAGTACAAACCCCAAATCCCTTGCGGTAGGTGAAACAAAAGTTTAGGAAATCATATTAAAACAATCAACAACACAGCGAGTCATTTCATGAACATTTCGCCTGAAATACCATTAAGTGTGTAATTACTTATTTAGACTAGTTAGTGGTGTTGTATGTATGCTATGCTATAAAGTGACTAACGCTCCCTTTATCAATCTCAGAAACAACAAGATTTCAGCTTTTAATTTTCAACAATTGCGTTGAATACAGAGTATTTCACGATTTCATATCGCGAAGTTTTCAAGTTGCAATACAATAGACTATGCATCATTCTTAATGGTAGGATAGTAAGAAATCATAATCAAAGCAATGTTTAAAAATAAATTATATGCACTCATAAGCGAGTCAGAATCAGAGTAAGTAAATGTTTGAATTAAACAGAATTCCGTGTTTTATACTATACCTGGGAACTATCTACTTTGTGTGAATTGGATAATAATTTAAAACGGGCGTATGTGCTTTGTAGAATATTTTATGTATAATTTTCATATATCTCTACTCAGAAATTGACATTCAATTCCCCATGTCGAAATTTGTACTGAATTAGGAAGAGTAGATCATACAAAGGTGTAAGGTAGCTTTATTGTATGTAATTGAAAGCCGACTTACTGTGAGTCTCCTGAAAAATTAATGCTGATGGTGACACCTGGTGATATTGTGGATTTGGTAGCAAAATGGTACCCGACATCTAGTCATGACGTCAGTTAAAATTAGCATCGTAGATATGTGAAAAATGAGTAACAAGTTTGAATGATACTATGGCTTCGTGGTTTCAAGACCTTATCACCTTTGGTTTCAAGACCTTATCACCTTTCAAAATAAATTGAATTAAAGAAAAAAAGTTATTGAAAGCATCAGAGCATATAGAGCAACCCTATTGGTTAACCATCAACCTGATTCTGAATGTGAACAAATCATTACTAATAAATGATGGTGTACCTGTATTAAAAAATGAGCAATCCATTTTATTTGATTTTAAAGGATATCTGTACTCTTTTGGATATCTTTGAACGAGGAAATCATCTGATTTAACCACTGTAATGGTATACCTAGGTAATTCTAATGTCCCAAGACAAATCTGCCTTGTATAAATTATGTCACTATTAATGCTGTATTCTCCGAAATAGGGTATTTGTATATCTGTATTCACAATAATCGTCGAAAAAAAGTCAGTGCACATACCACTATTTTGAATTGATATCTTGCATAGCATGAAAATATGTCAGTTTTTTACAACTTGAACCACTGTGTATCTCTTGGAGTTTAGGAGATTTGTAACGTGGTGTACGTTCTAAATGTTGAGTTAGTCTATAGGTTGAGGTTTAGTGTCACTGAATGTTTTAAGATGTTCATGAAGAGGGATTCAGAATAACTATCGGTCCAAGTATCTTCAATGATCATCTGAGATCTCGACAGGATCAAGATGTTCCTAGTGCTAACATACTCAAGTGCCAAAGAACTGCCCCAAGCAACTCGATACTGCAGAATTGAAAGAAACAAGATAGCAATTACCTCAATGACTATCTGTATGTTAATCAAATAGGTGGAATATTCATTCCTCTACATTTTTGGGACTTACTCTTTCTTACAATACGACACTTATGCGTTTGAAATTTTACTACTTAATAGAAATCTCAAAAAGGAATTCAATTCATAGTCAGTGACACCTTGTTTGAATAGAAATCTCAAAAAGGAATTCAATCCATAGTCAGTGACACCTTGTTTAAAAAATGTTTGTTTGAAGAAGAATCTTAGCACATTGAAAAGATGAAATTCGAAGACTAATTTTTCCATTGACTGAATTTGTCTTTCAGGTTTCCAATAGTAAAATTTCAAACGCAGTGACATTTTGGGAAGAATCATTGGATTTGTCCTCACAAGTATATTGACGCGGTCATGAGTCCTCTACTTCGCCAATCCCGTCGACTAACATTTTTATTGATAGACGAGAAAATCCCAAAAATTGAGAAAAATGTGCAACTATCTTGATCATAAACGAAGGAAAATTACTGCTCACTTATTGTGGCTAAATACACTGACCTGCAAAACGACAGTCTAGTGAAAATGATCATCCTATTCCTGCACTTTTGAATGAAGATTTCTACCACAGCTTCAAAATGAACAATCATTCAGGAAGCTAACTTCAAGATAGGCTTCTAAACTGTTATTAAATTTTTCATATTCGAACAATCAAGCTGTGTGTTGTTACTACAGGCCTCAAAAGATTATTTATACCCTTCAGATGTGTAATTGTTCGAATTTTCAGCCAATGCCCAGCAAACATGTATAGGCGGTAAATAGCCGGGCCATAGCTGTCAGCAGCGGATATGTGTCGGCAGCGGCGAACCGATATTGGCAAAATTTGAAGTAGGCATATTTATTATGTTTGTTTGTCGTCCATCCCGTGTTGACCATTATATAGATATGTCACAATCGCGCCGCTGTCGATTCGACGCTGGAGACAAACTCCACTGTATAAATAATCTTATATTGTAGTATCACAATAACAATATTATTTTTCCAGAATTCTTATGCATTTTTTATGGTTGATCCCAGCTAACTATCGTCTGACATCAAGAATTATATGATATATAACAATTATACTCGTTGTCTACCAATTTATTTTTGTGGTAATGACTTTGAGCTACATATTTGATCATTATATAACAATGATGCACCAATGCGAAGTTCAGTTCTTTACCTTTATTCGAAAAATTTATGTTATGAAAGGTAGGTATATCGTATGATGAACTATGATTAAAGCCTTGTTCTATTTCAATTCTGTTGACTAATGAATTTATAACCAATATTTTTGCCGCAGTAGCGTAGTCGAAAAAAGCGTCTGACAGTGGATATGTTATCCTTTGAAGCGCCGGTTCGAGACCGACTCCCGACTCTTTTTTTTTTTATTAATAAGCTAGCCGGGCCGACGATGAATCATGATTGTGGCCCGCTGATGTTTTTGGCAGTTTTTGGAGGGCGTCTAAATGCCCGCGGGATATGTATTTGCTGGATGCGCTGTTGATTGAGGTTCGTTTCAAGTCTGTGCACGTGGCGGACATATTCCGTACCAGCAGAGGCACTCCTATTGACTGGATAAACTATACCTAACGTTGACGAGCAGTAACCACGTGATGTGACTCCTAACTAACCATTTGGCAAATACACGTTGATGATTTGGCAACTGCGCTCTGCGAGTCTGCGATGCCTAACTACGGGATACAATCTCCTTTGGTGTGAAATAATAACGTTCACATTATTCTGGCAACTATATTTATGAGTGGCAAATTTCGATCATTTGAATGAGACGACTGTGCAGTCATTTGTGATTGTGAGACCTTGAAACCATTGAAATATGTTTGGAAAATAATAAAATCGAAAGCATATCAAGTGTGATTATCATGAATAAAAAAAATCAAAAATCAGACCACTAGCCCATTGGGAGGGGTCAACTTTTGATGGTCGTTTTTTTGCAGGTCAGTGTACATACATGACTATCATCTGAAATAGCAATTTCTCAACAAAATGAAAGCCAATGGTATCGAGTTGGTAACCGTTTTCTATCCTCGATATTCGATAACCAAAAATGTTTTCTGTCACTGGGGCCAGTCTAAGGATCTGTTTTGCTTGCTATGAACCCGAGTATGAATATTCTCATAAATCGTCGTAGAAGTATATTCATCCTCACCAGTGATGTTGTCGCACAGTATGCGCGATGTTATTATTCGACCGAATGGACTGAACAGGGCTTCGAGGTCTTGTTGTGTCATGTTTTTGGGGAGGCCGGAAACATACAGGTTGGCACCTTTGATGGCTTCTGAACTAGGTCTCGCGTACGATACCTGAAAAAAAAAAAAGGTGTGTAAGTGCAAGTTTTAAATAGAATACAAAATGATTGTGCATTCTTCTCTCGATGTAGTAGATAACAGATCAGTATGTAGTATATGTAAGGTAGAACAAACTATCCGAGTTCTCTACAGTCCGCCGTTGAAAAGGAGAATTGATGATACCATCATATGCTTAGCCATATTTGCAACCAGTTCATCGAACGGAGCAAAATCATTCATTAGTAACCGCTTCTGTGGCTTGGGAGTGTTTTGTCATAATTAAAAAATGGAATCCAGAACAAAACCATTATGGTAGATTCAAACATAAAAATTATTATTAGTATTACCTGGTAGAAAATTGATTAATTCGATTTAAAATGCTTTTTGACCAGTTGAGAACCTTGGAGAGTGGCAGTTCGAGATTTTACATCGCCCAATATACTGGATGTTTCCGAAATTGGGGCGATCAATGACATTTTTGTCAAAAAACAAATATTTTGGAAGATATTGAGTTTCAAAGTTTACCTGAAACTTTTGTAAATCATTGATCAGAGGTTAATAGCCCAACCCAAGCGTTTGCTGCTTTCGGCGAGACCACAAGCACCGGAAGTATCAATGACTTTTGCAATGTTGCCTATTATCATATTATTATGTCTCATAGAACACCTAATTTTATTCATCGCCCCAATTTCGGAAACATCCTGTATACAACGATAAGTGGGAATAGAAAACACGAAAAAACGGAACAAAATGTTTGCCAAAAAAAAAAAGATATTGCATGAATTTCAAAGTATGCCTGGAATTTTTGATAATCATTGATCGATATAATATGTTGAGAGCCGAAATCGAGAGTTTGCTTTCGGCGGGGTCACTAGCACCAGAAGATTATATATGACCTTTACGAAGTTCAATGATACAATGAGGATTGGTGAGAGCTTTCATATCACTATCTCATTTTATTTCGGAAACACACGGTATATATTTCTACTATATCAGCTGAATACTATGGAGCTACAATAACCATGCACATACGAACATATACCTATCTACTAAAGTAACTCAAAAATCAAAATTACATAAAAAATATCCAAGCTGAACCATCTTTGAATCAGACGAATTATTTTCTAGGTGCAGTTAAAATGATATACTGGGTGTTTCATAACTCAGTATCAAGATTTCAGGGGCTTATTTTTCAGATCCATTCCCAGTCACGGTGTTAGTGGCTAAACTCCTCCGAAACAGCTCGACCGATTCGTATGAAAATTTTTGTGCGTATTCAATAGGTATGACAATCGGTCGTTATCTATTTTTTTCAAATCGAAAATTCGAGATGGCGGATCCAATATGGCGGATCCAATATGGCGGATCCAATATGGCGTAAGAGCTTTGTAATAAATTGTAGTTTGAAAAACTATAATGAAACACGCTATTATGGATAGCCAAACTCGAGGCTAAACTGAATAGAAGTAGAAAATTGATAGTATATAGTTTAAAAAACGAGATAGATTGTCGAACTAGAAAGAAGTAAAAAAAATAATAGTTTGGAATACTAGTAAAACACGGTTTTATGGATAGCCAAACTAAAAAGAAGTAGAAAACAAAATAATAAAAGTGTGCCGATAAATATTCAACTGAAAGAATATTTTCTAGAAAAAAAAAAGTATTATGCAGAACAATGTTTGCCGGGTATCAGCTAATGTAATAAATATTAGTTTGAAAAACCGAAGAATCCCGCTTTCATGGATAGCCAAACTAAAAAGAAGTAGAAATAAAATAATGAAAGTTTTTTGAAGAATATTCATCTAAAAAATTTTTTTCCAGAAATAATGTTCATAGCAAAACAACGTTTGCCGGGTTAGTATATTTCCTATAAAAATGAGTCCGCAAAAGCTTCGTTACCGATCTACAGAGCGTTAAAATGTCAGGATTTTCTTCTTTTTTCTTTATAGCTCTCACTTTCTTCGAGATATTCAAATCACATATTTAGAGAAAAAAAAGTCTTATTTTGACCTGAAAAATAAGTCCCTGAAATCTTGATACTGAATTTTGAAACACCCTGTATATATGATAAAGCAGAACTTTAACAGCTTGAAGAACACATATTTTCAAGATGAAACGTTCATGTGAGCATATGCTTCGTTACTGGAACTTGAAGTTCGAGTTTTTCAAGTTTTCTCCTACAATTTTCAAAATAATGAATTGAAATTTGTTATGACTATTACACTTGAAAAATCAGTATTTGGGGCTATTAGGCGATTTTTTGCTTGCTCAATAATAATTGACTAAAAGAATGAAAGCTTCCATTACATGTGTTACTGAAACTCAATGGCGAAGCTTGAAAAACATAAAAAAATATATAAAAATTTCACATCCACTGTATATAGGGAAAGGGGCTTCTATATGCATAAATGTTTACATGAGCTTTTCCTGCTTTTCATCTCAAAATGGTGTCTTCCTTAAGCTGTTGAAGTCCTGCTACAAAAAACTGACTCATCCTGTATAATAAGAGTAGAAAAAGTAAAACATGTGGCTAAACTGCACAAAATAATAGGCAGAAGTCACATTTATAAGATGCTAGAACTTGATATGATATTCATACTTTATCAAAATATTTATCGTCCAGTTCCGTGAAAAACCATATTTTATAAATGTTCAGCACACAGCTATTTTCGAATTAAAAATATACGTGAGAACTAAAATATTGTCTTTGCTGGCTTCTGGAGGTAGAATGATTGAAATTCTCAAATTAAAAATCAAACCGCGATATCCGGGTATAGCAATTGGACACATTTTTGGCACTGGCAATTTATTTATGTCAAATGACTAGATACACCTTTGAGACATTTGCATGCCACATGCATTCATGAAAAAAGAAAAACTTGCGCCACATAGGCGTATCCAAACTAATTTGCTGGCGGTAAACTGGCAAGCAATAGGTATACTTATTGATGGGTTATATGGTTTCCCTGGTTCCCCATGATATGTATGACAAATGAAGATAGTTAAGCTGCATAATAATACACTTATACAAAATTTAAATATATTTAGTTTAACCGCACGAATCCGTTTTGCCCAAACATATGCATAGGCGATTTCTATAGACCAATCAGAACGATATGGGCACTGATATTGGCGGTAAATTCGAAAAACAAATGTTTTCACATCATAGAAATAATAGAAATACCCTTATAAATGACGCGGAATCAAGTCTACAGAAAATTTTCCACGACCGATCCAGAAGAAAAAACATCATTGAAATAGCGAATCACTATCAATCTCAATAGTAAATGCCTTCAAAGTACTTTTCTCAGGGAGGAAGGAACATATTATCCCTTCTGCATAAGAAATGAGACTACTTTTTTGAACATTCTAACCTCACTTAGCCTAAATGAACCTTCTCACTAAAAAATTTATTTTTCGGAAAATCACTTGAGAAAACAATAAAAAAAAGACTGCCACAGAATTTGAATTATATTGTGTAAGTTACTTTTTCTACGATTACACTAATTTCCTGTAAGTTTTTGTATTTTGTGAGCCTCTGCACACGTCAAAGCAGATAAAAGAGGGCATAGATTTTCACAATGCACAATAGATTACTTTCTTTTCATCACCAAATACTTTGGCAGTAGAATTGAGAATGAATAAATACAAAAAGCTAAAAGTCATTTCCACACAATGTTCATAAAATGAACAACAATGGTAAATTTCGGGAGAAAAACAACTATTTTCCTCGCTAATGTCAGGCAGAACATTGAATTACATCCACCAGGAATCTATGCATCGACTCGTATAAACGAATACTGATACAAGTGATTGTTTCAATGCCTATTGATTTCGATTTAGCCAGGCCTGTGGTGTCTAGCGTAGCCTGGCTAAATCGGAATCAATAGGCATTCAGGAAATAATCATTGGTATCAGTATTGTTCAGTAGACGTATATGTAAGCAAAAATATAATTAATTACCCACTACACGTGCTTCGGTACTTTTTTTGCGCGAAATTACCAGAACTCTTTTCAATTTGTTCATGAAAAATGATACAGACGAGTCAAACAATCCAAGCCTATGTCAGCTAATTTCAACATCCTGGTTACGAATTAATTTTGTTCGTATTCGATACGACAAATGGAATCTAAAAACACATCATTGACCAATAATGATAGTGAATTGTGAAGAAGGGCGTGGAAAGTAATTCTGAATTGAGAAAACACAATCACGAAACTGTGATTAGAGGTCTGTGAAAGAAAATTTCTATCGTTCAAGTTTGAACAGGGTGTCCCGATTTCACATAGAAAGATGTCAACCACAGATTCTAGGGAGAAAAATAACATTTTATACAAATTCGGAATTTGGTTGGAATGGTTGTTCAATCCTCCGAATGACAGCTAGGTGCTACAATTATAGAAATGCTCCGATCGACTTTGGGAAGACTATACCTGTATACCGGGTGACACAGGGTTTCGGGCCACTCCTGTAACTTCTGTATTCGTAAACGGATTTGCTACAGTTATATGGGCAACCATTTCGGATTTGATCATATTAAAATCCAATATGGCGGACTTCCGGTTTTTCTGGAAATGCCAGCAACTTTGATTTTCCAAATGGAACACCCTGTATATTTTTACATATTCAAGTTCAACAAATTATAACAAGTGCAATCTTTATGTGAAATTTCATGTTTTCGAGAAAATTAAAAAAATTGAAATTGTTTTTCTATTTTACCTCGTGGATAAATGAGATGTGGTCAAGGCTATTCAGAATAAGTCGCACATAACAGAGAAATACAATCATTTCAGAAAAAATAGTTTTTTGTGTCACTTATCGATGAATCGGATCAGTCACATCACATTTTGATCGAAAATTCTATTTTTCTCAAATGAAACCCTCCTATTGGCCACCTACATGTTTCTCTAGAACATACATTAAGGAAAAAAATATCATTCTTGTATTTCGGTGCATGCAGTATTAACAAATTAAAAAAAAAACAAACAAGTTCATGAATTTGTTTGCAGTTAGA